CGTGGAATCAGATCCTTCCCAGTCGGGCCCTGGCAGGAGCCCTGAGCCCCCCGCAGCCCACCACAGAGTTGCAGGAGACGCCGCTCCTCCAAGTGGGAGTGGAGGCCCCTCTGTCTGCAGGACGGGGTTCACTTAGAGCCTAAGGTGCACCCCCAAAGCTTCTCCTGTCATTTAGCAAACCCAGCACTGCAGCGGGCAGGAGCTGTGCTCTAGGGCTGGGGAGAACTGCAGAGGACAAGTCCACCCGGGGCCTGCCCACAGCCAGCTTCCATTCTAATGATGAGACAGACAAAAAAAAAGATTAAAATTATAGAAATGATGACATAGTTACAAATGTCATCGTGGCCCTCAGAGGTTCGCAGGCGGCTCCAAAGGCTACGGCAAGGGTTTCTCGGGCTGGGCGCTCGAGGGGGCGGGGCCTGCAGGGCCAGCTCCGCCTCCAGCACCTGCCAATCTGGCTTCCGTTTTCGGGACAGGCCGATTCAGGCCCCGCAGGTCAGCTGCAGGTGGACACAGCAGTAACGGCCAACCAGGACTGCGGCCCACTCTGCCTCCGAGCTCACCCCTCGGCTTCCCTTCCCGGGTCTCTCTGTTCACCTTTGTCAACTGCTGTGTCCAAGGCCTCCGCATTTTCTCCGCCACCTGATGGGATCCATCGAAGACCGAGGGGCTGTGTTGGGAGCCCTGCACTCCCATCGTGGGGTGGGTAACTCAGCCCACGGGCCTGCCCGTCTGTGAACAGCGCTCAGGCGAGGTCCCTCCACCTGCCCAGAGTGCAGCGGGTGCCCTGGGACCTCAGGGTTCTGCAGATCATTGGTTCTCAACCTGGGCTGGGTTTGCCTGTCGGGGGGCATTTGACAACATCTGGAGGCATTTCAAGGTGTCCCAAGCAGGGGGAGGGCACCACTGGCCTCTAGTGTGTGGCGGTCAGGAGGCTGCTAACGCCCAGGACAGAGCACTCGGACAGACTCCCGGGACCCCAAATGCCAACAGAGCCGAGGTTGAGCAATCCTGCTCAGATGGACCCCTGTCAGGGTGAGCACTTCGGGAGGGTGTGGAGAGGAGGTGTGGGGGTGCAAAGGAACCAGACTTCTGGGGCCCGGTTCTGGGTCATCAAAGGCAGCCATGTCCACTTTAGTAAGAATCAGTAGCTCTTAGGTTAAAACAAAATAAAAACCAGAAGCTTCTTGAATGCAGAGTGTAACTGATGCCTTCAGGTCTTAAAGGTTTCATTTACACTGAATTCTCCCCGCAGGCCACCCTTGGCAGGGCCTCTCCCCTGGGTGAGGCTGCAGGTGGGGCATCCCGATAGCGTTCAAGCTCTCAGGTCACCACATCTCAGCTCCTTCGGGGAGGAATCATCTTTAAGGGGTCTAGCCCTTTAATCTCTAAGTCACTTCCCTTGCTAATAACTTTAAAATGTAATCATATAAAACCTCCCGGCTGATTCCAACCTGCTCTCAGAATTTGCTCTCAAAACCCCATCACCGCCTCGTGAGGACCTGTGGTTAGGCGGTTTCTGTAGATACATTAATGGAGGCACAGAGAGGTTCTGTAACCTGCTTGAGGTCAACCAGCTAGGAAGCGGTGGATTGTGGATTGGACCCTGGCCAGCTGCCTTCCTGAGTTTGTGGGCTGTCGCAAGGCACCCAGCGTTTCTGCGATGGCTAATTACCACTGAATTTTATCTCTGCCTTCAGAAATGCAAGCCCTTACCTTCGAATTTTCTATGAAGGAAATGAATTTCTATTGTTCAGAAGAGACTTTGTTTTCAGACCCGCCTCCTCTTTATTCCCTCCCATCCCTCCAAATGGGCAAGGAGTGGCCGTTTGTCTGCAGAGCATCTGCATGGGTATCACTGATGGCTGCTTGGATCGGATGAACACTGGAGAGTCTGGTTATCAGTCTCTGATTCGCTCTGGATTCCGTTTTTGTTCCTGATCATTTAGCTTCAAGATCATGAGTAGACCCCGCTTTCTCTTGCTCTATCTTGGACTGGCCATTGGTCCCCCGGGGGGAATTTCATTCTCGAGGTGACTCTCACTACAAACAGATCTAACAGAGGACCCGAGCCCTGGGCAGGTTGCAGGATGCACAGAATTTGTGGCCCACGGGCCTGAAATCCCCAGAAATCTCAAATCCATACACGGCTTAGTCCCCAGGATTGAAGAGTTCTGATCCTCTGTCCCACTCAGCCAAAGAGACTTTGATTGGCAGAACCAGAGGTAGGTGAGTGGAAGGAAGTTCTTAAATCAGGCTCCTCGAGCC